TCTATAATGATCATATAAACGTGTGCCTCGGAAATCATCTTTTACACAATTTGTGACCAAACCGTTTGAGACCCACTGAGATAACTTAGACTAAAGTGAACTATCTAAACACTCAGAGAGTCCTTTAGCTCACTGAGCCTCTCAGTCTGACTGGAGAGGACTCTCCTCCAGCTTGTTGTGGAAACAGCTCCTTATGTCCGTTAGCGCAGCTAGCACCAGATGCTAACAACACGGCCCCTGCTGGCACCGGTGCGCTCTCTCTCTCTCTAATGTCTTGCCTCTGTTGCATTCACTGAACACAGGAAATTACAACCCTGCCGTCCTCTCTAGTGTCATGATGAGGTTCAGGCCTGGAACCTCACCATGACACCCAGGCCAGGCAATGCCACTGCCACAGAGGATGTCATTTCCCTCCAAAAACCACTGGAGTACTTCCAGAAGTTTGTGTCAGAAGACATGATTCAGGCTTTGGTAACCAACACAAATGAGTCCAGGTCAGAACTACAAGATCTACGCAGACAACTACTTCACCTGTGTCCCATTGGTAGTGAAGCTCCTTGATCGTGGGATTCATTATGTGTGAACAGCCAGGCAGGTGCGCTTACCCAACTGTAACCTTGAAGAGGAGAAGAGCTTGAAGAAAAAAGGGAGAGGAAGCTTTGACATCCGAGTGGAGACCAACCACAACATCTGTGCTGTCAAATGGTATGACAGCAGAGCGGTCACACTTGTGTCATCCTTTGCTGGACCAGACCCTGTGCAGAGAATTCAACGCTGGGACAAAGCCAACAACACCTACGTAGAAGTTGAGAGGCCTTACATTGTGGCTACGTACAACAAGTACATGGGAGGTGTGGATTTGTTGGACTCGTTTACGGCCAAATACAAGTTCCCCATGAAGTCCTGACGCTGGTACGTGTACATCTTCTGGCACACCATCATCCTTGCTGTGATCAACGCCTGGCTCCTCTAAAAGCGGGACTGCAGAGCTCTAAAGATGCCAAAGCAGGAGAACAAATTATATTTCACTGTAATATTTTTGACTTGTATCCTAATGTATTTTTGACATGTATCTTGATTGATTCTGTTCTAATCAGATGAACATCTCCTCTGAAAACACCCAAGAGAGGACGACCATCTTCAGGCAACGAGAGCCCAGCAGCGACGGTGACATCAAGGAGCCCGTTGAATGCTCAGCAGACACCCTCCTCAGGTGATGGGAGTCCACCAAACGGGGCTCCATCCAAGAGTTCACAACCTCCACTGGATGTACGCAAGGACCATTTTCCAGTGAAGACAAAGAGAGGACGCTGCAGACACTGCAGTAAAGGGTACACAAACACACAATGCACCAAGTGTGACGTCCGTCTCTGCTTTTCTGACGATAGGAACTGTTTTTGGGACTACCATTGTATTCATATTTAATAAATGACTGTTCATAATAACAAATATGACTGATGTGTGATTATTATTCATGCTATATACTGATATAGGGCTAAGTAAGCAATCAACCCTTAGTTGTTCAATATATGTATTCAGACGATGTGAGTAGAAATACAGGAATAATGCTACCTAAGCCCAACATTGCATTATTACAACATTTCCCTAAACACTTACTTACTCTTTCATTTCTGCTCCAGAGGCTCCCTACAACAACATCTGAAAGGTAAACAAAATAAATTCTAATGTTTTTCTATATTTGGGCTTTACAGGGTTAAACTCTTAGTTTGGCTTGATTCTGAGAAAGTGTTGCTTTATCTTAATGACACAAATCTAATTCCATAAAACTGTTGCTGCCATCGCTGCTGTGATTCAAATTATTAGAGTCAATGGGGACTTAGATTTGATCTAACAGTGAGTGAAGGTTTCTGATCTCACCTGTGATGTGAGTGAAAGGAGAGCGTCTGTACCGGTGACGGATGAAGGGAATGATTTGATGCCTCACCTTAAAATGTGTTATACTCTCCTTCCTGTGACCTCTCCTGTGTGCCTTGATGCAGATTGGCTATTGGTTATTTGTTGGTATTTCTGCATGCACTCCTTGGTATTTCTACTACGTCATGCTGTCCCTTAAGTTTCCCTTTCATATAAATAGTATTTTGGAGTTTCTCTTTACAGGAACACACCAGCGTTATACTTGTCTATGAGAATGTGATGACAGGCAGGGCAGAAAGTCCTTTGTTCCTACATGACACTCTGTTTTAGTTTTACTTCCACAGGAATAATACGTGACATCTCCAAGTTGTGGGGCCAGAAAACAGCCACAACACATTTAGTTTTCTCAGGCAAATCTCCTGATCGGTGTGTAAAGTTAATTTCTCCTGATGAGCAGGTTGCACCTTGTGTGGTTGCCTCTGCCACAGGTGTGTGCATGTGTGTGAAACAGTGAATGGCTGATAAGAAAGGAAGAGGAATAAGAAAGGAATAAATGCAGTCCATTTATCACTCAAGAAGCAAACGAGTATATCTTTCTTTATCTTCCACTTCATTTTCCCTTCAATACTTTGTTGTTTAAAGGCGTTCCAATATTTGTTCTAAATATATTTGAGAGAGATGCGTGCAGCAAGTCTTAGAATTAAATCAGCATTGGTTAAGGTTAAACAATTATATTTAACCAATGCTACAGAAAACATCTGTATCATAAGTCTGGACCTCATATTTAATGCAGGACAGGTTATTCCTTTTTCCACCTGACACACCCTTTTTAGGTTTGCATACTACTGTGACCACCAGGGGGCAGTATTTGATCAAATAAGTGTTAAACCTGTTGGCGGTGACCTCTATCACAGCACACATTTTGACTTCACTGGAAAATACAAGAAATAACTCCTCAGGACAGAAACACTGTACAAAGACATGTTATACAATCATTGTTTTTATTATTTTGAGCAACAACATTGAATATATTAGATTTGAACTGTACATTTATTAATTTACAGTTGCAGGTCAACACACCTATTATCGATAACCTATTTTCAATTACAGAAATTCATGATTTCTAAGCCAGTGTATTGTAAAGTTAAGATGGAGCAGCTCAGTAAGAAATAGAAACCTCCCAGATACAATAGATGCAGTATCATAGAGGCACTGATTGACATGGAGGTTACAATTCAGCATGGTACTCCTCCAGGACTTGGACAAAATTCTTGTGTGCTCTCAGATGCTTTTCGAATTTCAAAATCTTTTCATCGAACTCCTCATTATCCATCATCAATCCATAAAGGAACTCATACTCGGTGTCGCTTTGTGCCTAATGTGGGAAAAAACAGACTTCATGAGATGGCAGTGAATCTATTTGCTGTGTTGTGTCCACTGTAGTGCATAAAGTCCCTTCTGAACAAGGCCAACTTCTCTCAGCCTGTCAGTTACTCCAAATAATTGATGTTACCCATGGACTCACCTTCCATATGTCCAGGTTTTGTTCTGCTTTCTGAAGTAATTCCTTGAGATTTTTCTAAAAAAAAAAATCCGTCATGAAAATGACCAGTTGTATTTGGGAACATAAAAGCAGCTCTTAAGTAGCCGCACTTTGGTGCATGAGCCGGCAGAATTACAAAATGTTTTAAGAGCAACTGAAAGAAAATGTGGATTTGTTTCCAATAGAAACGGAAGTTAAGTCACTATTTATTTACCAGTTTGTTCTCATCAATCCGTGAAGCTGCGGTGCAAACCAGACCCAGCAGAGTGAAGAGGAAGAACAGCCCCCCCGCTGCTCTTCTGCTTCTGGATGAAACTGCTGCTGCCATCGCTGCTGTGATTCAAATTATTAGAGTCAATGGGGACTTGAAGAAATGTTCAAATATTTAGAGGTCTATATATGTTATCTAATAGTGAGTGAAGGTTTCTGATCTCACCTGTGATGTGAGTGAAAGGAGAGCGTCTGTACCGGTGATGGATGAAGGGAATGATTTGATGCCTCACCTCAAAATGTTTTATACTCTCCTTCCTGTGACCTCTCCTGTGTGCCTTGATGCAGATTGGCTATTGGTTATTTGTTGGTATTTTTGCATGCACTCCTTGGTATTTCTACTACGTCATGCTGTCCCTTAAGTTTCCCTTTCATATAAATAGTATTTTGGAGTTTCTCTTTACAGGAACACACCAGCGTTATACTTGTCTATGAGAATATGATGACATGCAGGGCAGAAAGTCCTTTGTTCCTACATGACACTCTGTTTTAGTTGGTATTTTTGCATGCACTCCTTGGTATTTCTACTATGTCATGCTGTCCCTTAGGTTTCCATATGACACTCTGTTTTAGTTTTACTTTCACAGGAATAATACGTGTTGAAGTTTTCCCATGCAAATCCCCCGATCGGTGTGTAAAGTTAATTTTATCCTGATGAGCAGGTTGCACCTTGTGTGGTTGCCTCTCCCACAGGTGTGTGAATGTGTGTGAAACAGTGAATGGCTTCTTGTGTTGTAAAGCGCTTTGAATGTTCACTAAGAAAATAATAAATGCAGCCCATTTATCACTCAAGAAGCAAACGTGGACGTTAAAGTCATGTCTGGATTGATCTTGCCTCAATGCTTTTAAAAAACTACAATCAAAGACATTTACAATTTAAACTCTGATAGCATTTTCACTTCATTTTGTCTTAAATACTTTGTTGTTTAAAAAGCGTTCCAGTATTGTTTTCTAAATCTAAGATGCGTGCAGAAAGTCTTAGAATTTAATCAGCATTGGTTAAGGTTAAACTAATATATTTAACCAATACTACAGAAAACAACTGTATAAGTCTGGACCTGATATTTCTTTGAGTTTGCTAAGCATCACATTGCACACCTTTTCATATGTTGAAATAATACCAGTTTTAAACTTCCTAAATATTTTAAAATCAAATGTTTCCATGATACAATTGTTTACCTTTCATTCTTTGCTATGAACACCAGGGTTCAGTATTTGATTATATCAGATGTTAAAGCTTTTGACTTGTGGCGGTATGCACCTTTAAGTGGTTTGCGATTCGCCAATAACGAACAAATCCCGGAACTAAAGTGTTTGTTCCTACCCGAGTTACTAAACGCGATGCACCGTTAATGCCAGTGTTTTGGCATTTGATTCCCGTCTTCAGTGAGTAGAAATAATGTCTTTTTTTCCTTACGAGTGAAGTGTTAATGTGTGTGAGACAGCATACAGAGTGTGTGTAAAGTGTTTTATTCAGCCTGGCTTTTTAATCAAAATGCCACACGGCTAAAGTGACCGTTTGACCGTTGCTAGGTGCAGCTGTGTTAGCTTCAGAGATGCTAACTGGTGAATTAAAAGGATGTTTTTCTTGGTAGTAAATCATGGATGAACACTAACTCTATCTCTACTTAATCGTAAATTACTGGCTTGTGTTGGTGTGTAAATGACCTGTAATTTAGCGTTATGAGTGGACTTTGACAGTAACTGCAAACTGCTGCAATGCTACCTCTTATATCCGCACGTCTTTCCACCTGTCATACGATACTGCACATAATTGTATTAGATTTAACTCAAATTGTATTGTTCTGGTAATCCATGTAAATATTGCTATATTTTAATGTTATTATAGTAACATCGTTTTTTTAGCATTTTATGTTATGGCTTTGACTGTATACACCAAGGCTAATTCCTCTTACTGTATATGTAAACCTACTCCGCAATAAACCTATTTCTGATTCTGACTAAAGGACTAGTTTATTGCCATGGAGACCAGCGACCATTCAGAAAAGTGAACATTTAATACTTTCTTTAAATATATTAAAGTCCATACCTCAAAATACTTTGTTCAACCATATAATGGCCCTCCAATTGTGTTTTTATTTTTGTCAGACAGTTTATAGATTTGTTATCTTCACGCCGGTGATCTGTATATCTTTCTTACTCTCTAATGCTGGTTTATTTCTATTTCTATTTTGAGATGTTTCTATTTTAGAATTGTTTATTTCTACTCTTTGAATTTGTTATTATTTGCAATGCCTTGCTTTGTGTTATGCTGCTGCAACTTTTTTTTTCTTCCCGAATTGTGATTAATAAAGTACATCTTATTTTATCATCCCATATTACTCTTTAATTCGGCAAGCGCTATGTCATCTGTTAAATTGAGCAATTTGGCAGTGTTGTTCGCAACCCTCCAGTTTCCTGTGCAAGTCTCCTCAAACCACCGCTTCAAAATCAATGCTTCGGGTATCGAACCCGCGACTTTGGTGTTATTAGCACCACGCTCTAACCAACTGAGCTAACGGACACATTTGCATACTGTTTTTAACATGGCAAAACTTAAGGAGAACTGGTGTGACCATTTTGGACGGATATATCTGTTTATGCAATCATTAATATTGTTTATAAAAAGCTTTATTTTAAAGCATTTTAGTATCTACCAATAATGTGATAAAGTTATATGAAATGTCATTTTTTGCCCATCATCCTAAGTCTAACACCAGGCCTTGTTTCATATAAGATAAGATAAGATAAGATGGAACTTTATTTATCCCCGTGGGGAAATTCAGACGTGTATAGTAGCAACAGGGTCAGAGTAAAAAACAGGATTCACACAAGGTAAAAATAATACAAAAATGTAAAATAAAGTGATATAGTAACTGTTGAAACAAGATATCACAGTAAACATGGACCATTTGAATGGACATACATACATATTTGGATTGTTAAATATATTACATAAGTGTGCAGATGTGAGTGCAGGTTAAAGTATTGTACAATAAAAGGTAAAGAGTTGTGAAAAAAATGGAGAAAATACAAGAAAAGTAGAAACAAAGGAGAGCTTCTAAAAACAGACTAACACTCACAGACAGGATGCATATGGCTTCTTTGGGAGAATAGGTGACATGTTGTGTGACATTTTAGATGACTACATCTATATAAAAAGCTTTATTTTAAAGCATTTTAGTATCTACCAAAAATGTGATAATGTAATTTCTTCCCCCATCATGCCACAAAGTGGAAGGCCACATGCAAATGTACCCGCGTCTGTGTTTTATGTAACATTCTCGTCATATCTCGAAAAATGAGTTTCATGATTTGGTTCAAGCTCCTCATCGCCATTCATATGCGTATTTGATTTCAGGACAACATTTGATTTTTAACCTGAAATATTGACATTTAAATACAGGAGTGTACTCTAAAGGAAAATGTAAATCTGTTATTTGTCAATTCAAGCAATATGAGATTATAGTTCACCGGATGGAGCATCAGTACACTACCAGGCAGAATTACATTGCAAACCTTATGGCTATTTAATATATCTTACGTTTTTGTTTATGTGTCCGTCTGAATTCTTCTTAGTTTAGTTTATTTGTTCATAGTGTCGTGGACAGTCCCCATTGATCAACTGTCCCAAAGAACAGTAAATGGAGCAGCTTTAGCCAACATTGCTCATTTCCAGCTGTTGTCCCCGGCCAGATGATAATAGACACCTTTTTAAAATCACAATACATCAACAGCATTAGTTATAAAGAAAGGATGAAGTAGATCGAGGCGAAAGGATCAAAGAGAACAATAAAATGCAAACAACACGCGTCACATATAGCACATCACAATCACACGACAGAAACGAGGGGTCCATGATCACAACATGTAACACACACACCATATCCAACACAGACGAGTGTGTGCAGGTGTAGTTCTCAGTGAACTTATTCTCTCTGTTCCCTTCCTCCAGCCGATGGACTGACCTCCTCCAGCAGAGATGTTGCTGAAAGATCTCCCGCGGGACGCCCTGCTGCGACCTCTGTCCAGAAATGAAGTGTTGGGCATGATTCTGAGGCTGACCATCTTTGGCGCTGTGACATATTACGGCATCAAATGGGCGATGGACGCTATGGACCCTACCTCCAAACAGAAGAGCCAAGCCAAGAAAAGGGTAAGTGGAACGTAGGCATTTATATTCTGTTAGATCTCAAGTTTCAAGATTCAAGGCTTTTATTGTCATTTGTACATAGCTACAGTCAATGAAAATCTGAGGTCACAGGCTCCTCCAACACAATACAACTGATACAAGTAAATACAAATAAAATAAAATAGAAATAGTGCAATCAGAGTCTATATACAAGTAATTGGAATATGATATATTAGATAAATAATGTGTAAGTTGCAACCAGGTGAATGTTATGGAGGTTCTCAATCTCAATCTCAATCTTTATTTATACATATAGCAAATTTAAAACAACCTCAGTTGACCAAAGTGCTGTACAGGGAACACAAACAATATAGAATAACACAATAGGAGTGAAATAATAAATAGACTGTAAGTGTAAATATGCACATTGGCATTGAATTGTATCTCGTTGCACTGTCATCGCTACTACCTCTGCTTTTACCACTCTTATTTATTTATTGTGTCTATTTTTTTACTGCAGTGAGAGTTGCCAAAGAAATGTCGTTGTACTTTGTATGATGACAATAAAGATATATTCTATTCTTCTATTCTATAATAAAACAATAATTGATCAAGGGAGATGTCTCTGTTTTTCCAGGATTTCTTCTGTCATCTGTTATCCTTTTGTTTCTCCTGCTGAAGTGTGTGTGTGTGTGTGTTTCCTCTGCAGGCAGAACAGCTGATGAGGAGGATCGGCGTTGAGGGCGTCAGTCTGACAGATTATGAGATGAACATAGCGTCTCATCTAGTTGATCCACAGACGATGAAGGTGAATGCTGTAATCCTAATTCATGACATCTTGATTTTAAAGGTCACCTATTATGCAAAATCCTCTTCTTCATGTCTCTTCTACATCAACGTGTGTCCCCTCTTCTCCATGTCTCTTCTACATCAACATGTGTCCCCTCTTCTCCATGTCTCTTCTACATCAACATGTGTCCCCTCTTCTCCATGTCTCTTCTACATCAACATGTGTCCCCTCTTCTCCATGTCTCTTCTACATCAACATGTGTCCCCTCTTCTTCATGTCTCTTCTACATCAACATGTGTCCCCTCTTCTTCATGTCTCTTCTACATCAACATGTGTCCCCTCTTCTTCATGTCTCTTCTACATCAACATGTGTCCCCTCTTCTTCATGTCTCTTCTACATCAACATGTGTCCCCTCTTCTTCATGTCTCTTCTACATCAACATGTGTCCCCTCTTCTTCATGTCTCTTCTACATCAACATGTGTCCCCTCTTCTTCATGTCTCTTCTACATCAACATGTGTTCCCTCTTCTTCATGTCTCTTCTACATCAACATGTGTCCCCTCTTCTTCATGTGTCCTCTACATCAACATGTGTCCCCTCTGTGTAAAGAGACTCTGAAAGTTTCAGGAACAAAGATTCTCTCTCTCTTTGTCCTGATCCATTTATATAAAAACCTGTCTGAAAATGAGCTGATCAGATTTTGGCCACTTTATGATGTCATAACAATGTTTTGGCTTGTGTAACCATTAGCCAATCACCAACCAAGGTAACCCCCCCCCCCACCCCACCTTATCACCTGAATCTCCTCCTAGAGCACCATTGTGTTCTTTTTAACCAAATATCTCTCAGAGGGGCGTGGGGAGGGGCTCCTTATTTTCATCTAAAGTAACAGACAGAGAATCAGCACTTTGGAAACAGGGCTGAAACAGAGGGGATTAAGGGATGCTGCAATGATCTGTTTGGTGTTTCAGCCAATCAGAGACAGGTTTTGTATATATCTGAGACCTGTAATATATTGATGAAAATCAGTATAATAGGGGACCTTTAAAGCGCCATGATATCTGAACTCTCTCTCCATATGAACCGTCCTGCAGGTGACCTGGAGGGATATCGCAGGTCTGGACGAGACGATCAACGAGCTGCAGGACACCGTCATCCTGCCCTTCCAGAAGAGACACCTTTTAACTGGATCCAAACTCTTTCAGCCGCCAAAAGGTAACACACATGTTGTCTAATCAGAAAGTGAACCATTATCTTAACATGTTTGCAGTAAAGGACAAAATAGGAGAATCTTCTTGTAGTAATTTGAGTGATATTCTAATGGATTGGAAACCAAACACTGATATGACATTATTTAATCCTCAGTGCTTCTTAGAAAGTATTTGGACAATTAGGTCAACTGTGTAGGAATTGCAGCTCTTTTTACACAAGTCCAGTTATTTTTAATTGTGTTTAACTTAACTGTAATGTTTATTTGACACTCTGCCAAACTACCTCGTCCTAATTTAGAAAAGTATGCAGTTACCGGGTATCCACGGGGTCTTAAAAAGTATTAAAAGTTGATAAATCAATTTAGCGAAAATGAAGGCTATTAAAAAGTATTAAACAGCATTTTCCAAGGTATTACATTCTGTAGCTTGTTTTCAATAAGTATATAAATTGTCCAAAGAGGTTGTATTCTACAGTCTGCCTGAATGTAATCATTGCGTAGGTGTGTAGTGTGATTCTGTGTAGTTTATTTATGGCATCCCGTTGGATTTGACGTCATCTGAACAGGACATCGCACGCTCACTGCTTGATAGCGCGCGAAGGTCCGTTTACGCCGGTTGTTAAACAACATCGTTATGGGGAAATGCAAGTCTGCGTCCAAATGGTTGGAAGATAAGGAGGAAGGACAATCAATACTGTATATAGTCAATGTGAGGTAAAGTGTGTCGCCAATGTAACCGGTTAGAACTCCAAGTGGCGATGAGGTCTTAAAATGTATGGGAAGGGTCTTAAAAAAGGTCTTAAAAGGTCTTACATTTGACTTCAGGATCCCTGCATATACCCTGGTTTAACAAATCAATGATTATAACGTGAAGTATCCATAACACATCTCACTTAGTCAGGGTTCAATAGTTTACATAAAAAAGGTCTTTTAAGGAAAAAGGTCGGGGCCCTCTGAGCAATGTGTCACAGAAATATCTGACAGTATTTATCCTCTTGGCCGCTTGACAGCAGACGAACACTTCACTCTCTGTTGAACGTTTTTACTGTTTGACAGAAAGCTTTAAACAGAGTTGAGGATGAAACAGCTTCCAAAATTAGCTGTTATGGGAATCTAGTGCTATTACTAGTCTCCAGCCTTTGTTTACATCATGCAACTTCTATAAAGTATGCAGCAAGCAGGGCCAAATGTTCCATCTGTATCACACACTTTAAAAGGTCCCCTATTATACTGCTTTTCATCAATATATCACAGGTCTCAGATATATACAGAGCCTGTCTCTGATTGGCTGAAACACCAAACAGATCATGTCAGCATCCCATAATCCCCTCTGTTTCAGCCCTGTTTCAAAAGTGCTGATTCTCTGTCTGTTACTTTAGATGAAAATAAGGAGCCCCTCCCCACGCCCCTCTGAGAGATATTTGGTTAAAAAGAACCCAATGGTGCTCTAGGAGGAGATTCAGGTGATAAGGTGGGGGGGGGGTTACCTTGGTTGGTGATTGGCTAATGGTTACACAAGACAAAACATCATGACATCATTAAGTGGCCAAAATCTGATCAGCTCATTTTCAGACAGGATTTTATATAAATGGATCAGGACAAAAAGAGAGAGAATCTTTTTTCCTGAAACTTTCAGAGTCTCTTTACACAGAGGGGACACATGTTGATGTAGAAGAGACATGAAGAAGAGGGGACACATGTTGATGTAGAAGAGACATGAAGAAGAGGGGACACATGTTGATGTAGAAGAGACATGAAGAAGAGGGGACACATGTTGATGTAGAAGAGACATGAAGAAGAGGGGACACATGTTGATGTAGAAGAGACATGAAGAAGAGGGGACACATGTTGATGTAGAAGAGACATGAAGAAGAGGGGACACATGTTGATGTAGAAGAGACATGAAGAAGAGGGGACACATGTTGATGTAGAAGAGACATGGAGAAGAGGGGACACATGTTGATGTAGAAGAGACATGAAGAAGAGGGGGACACATGTTGATGTAGAAGAGACATGAAGAAGAGGGGACACATGTTGATGTAGAAGAGACATGAAGAAGAGGGGACACATGTTGATGTAGAAGAGACATGAAGAAGAGGGGACACATGTTGATGTAGAAGAGACATGAAGAAGAGGGGACACATGTTGATGTAGAAGAGACATGAAGAAGAGGGGACACATGTTGATGTAGAAGAGACATGAAGAAGTGGATTTTGCTTAATAGGTGACCTTTAAACAATATTCCTACAGTTGCAAGGAATAGTTTATATAAGTCAAAATATCATTCAATTTGACTCGTATGAATTAATGACAGTGACTGAAGCTCAAATTAAACACTTAAAAACGAGTTTTACCACAGATTTGACAACATTTAACTTCAGTAAAACACTTTTGTTTACAGCGAATGCCTTGCAATCAATACGTCTGAATTCTTGAGGAGTTTAGGTGCATTAAAACACTTAAATAAAAGGTCTATAAACTGTTAAATCATGTGTCAAAATGTACATTCTGTCGTTTTGCTCAAACAGGATGTAATTTTTAGACGTACAAGTATTGTGAATAATGTTTGCAGGAATGTCACTACTTCTTAAATCTCCACAAGGTTAAAATTCACTTTATTTCATAATTTTGTTGTCCTCGCAGGTGTTTTATTGTTTGGTCCTCCAGGATGTGGGAAGACGATGATCGCTAAGGCAACAGCCAAAGCGTCGGGCTGTAAGTTCATCAACCTGCAGGCGTCCACGCTGACGGACATGTGGTACGGCGAATCACAGAAGCTCACTGCTGCCGTCTTCTCATTGGCTGTCAAGATCCAGCCCTGCATCATCTTCATCGATGAGATTGGTGAGTCTGATGACCATGTGGTGTTAGTTTATTACACTATCAGATAATAAATGATTTCAAAAAGTGATATTGATATCTGAGGTTTTCACCGTTTTAAGTCCTATAGTATTGAGGTGTAAGTGCTTTGGATAAAAGCGTCAAATACCATGTAATGTTATGTAATGTACACTGGAAAAAATGCTGAAAACAAGGTGTTTTCACTTGTAATAAGTACAATAATCTGCAAAAGAACGAGTGAAAATTAGCTTGGTAGGATTTCTTGAAATAATATGGGATATTTCTATAAATTAGATCTTGTAATAAACTTGAAAAAACTTATTTTTAACTATATTTTACCAGAATCAAGAAATGTTATGATACAAAATAAGCCAGAAAATGCTCAAAAGTCTTCTGTCGTATGGTTAGTTGGTGAATTTCTAATACAAATGTGTTTTTCAAAATCAATAAGATGTATTTCTTGATACAAGATGATCCATCTTTTACAAATAACACAGCAGCTTGAAAACGTTGTGACATGTAGAAAAATACTTGTTTCATCCGAGATCCAACTCAAAATAAGGGTTAACGAGATACTTAAGATGCATTGTCTAAAAACAAGACCCTGTAACTCACTGCATTGTTACTTCTTCAATATTCATTATCAAGTGTAAAGACATATTCTGACCAGAAATCAGACGGATATACTTGGCAAGATTTCACATTTTTGCTCATGTTTCATCCCCACGAAATATCCCTGATGTTACTGATCTTAGTCTGTAATGTGTTGTGTATATGCTGTCTCCATCTTTATTTCTCAAGTACATTTCAAAAGGTTGCTAAAAAATTATCTCAGTATTATAAAGTAAAATTGAGCTGTGGATGACCATTTTAGTTTTCACTTCATAGCACTGTAAATTGCATGAAATTATGAGCTGAGCTGTTTTGTGTGTGTGTGTGTGTGTGTGTGTGTGTGTGTGTGTGTGTGTGTGTGTGTGTGTGTGTGTGTGTGTGTGTGTGTGTGTGTGTGTGTGTGTGTGTGTGTGTGTGTGTGTGTGTGTGTGTGTGTGTGTGTGTGTGTGTGTGTGTGTGTGTGTGTGTGTGTGTGTGTGTGTGTGTGTGTGTGTGTGTGTGTGTGTGTGTGTGTGTGTGTGTGTGTGTGTGTGTGTGTGTGTGTGTGTGTGTGTGTGTGTGTGTGTGTGTGTGTGTGTGTGTGTGTGTGTGTGTGTGTGTGTGTGTGTGTGTGTGTGTGTGTGTGTGTGTGTGTGTGTGTGTGTGTGTGTGTGTGTGTGTGTGTGTGTGTGTGTGTGTGTGTGCCCCAGGAAGAATAGCCAATGCTAGTGCTAATGGGGATCCTAAGAAAGAATAAAATAAGAATGTCCTCCTCGTGTGTCAGATTCGTTTCTGAGGAACCGCTCCAGCCTGGACCATGAGGCCACGGCCATGATGAAGGCCCAGTTCATGAGCCTGTGGGACGGCCTGGACACTTCCTCCACCACCCAGGTAGCACCACCAGGAGTCTTTATTATAATATATTTACCAGATGTAGTCACACAGGCACTTAATGGGTAGGATTTCTGTCGTCTCTTAAAGGTCACCTATTATGCTAAATCCACTTGTTCATGTCTCTTCTACATCAACATGTGTCCCCTCTGTGTAAAGAGACTCTCTTTTTGTCCTGATCCATTTATATAAAAACCTGTCTGAAAATGAGCTGATCAGATTTTGGACACTTTGTGATGTCATAACGATTTGTTGTCTTGTGTAACCATTAGCCAATCAGCAACCAAGGTAACCCCCCCCCCCCCCACCTTATCACCTGAATCTCCTCCTAGAGCACCAATGTGTTCTTTGTAACCAAATATCTCTCAGAGGGGCGTGGGGAGGGGCTCCTTATTTTCATCTAAAGTAACAGACAGAGAATCAGCACTTTTGAAACAGGGCTGAAACAGAGGGGATTATGGGATGCTACAATGATCTGTTTGGTGTTTCAGCCAATCAGAGACATGTTCTGTATATATCTGAGACCTGTGATATATTGATGAACAACAGTATAATAGGGGACCTTTAAAGCTACCTTTTAGAAATTCCTGTCAGAAGAAGCATCAATCCTTGCATGCAGGTCTTTATGTTTGAAGACAATACTAGGTTTGGTTTTAATCACAGAAGCATCGTTCAGTTGTTATGCTTCATATATGTGGAATAAACTGCAGGTCTGCTAAAACTCTTAAAGGTCACCTATCATGCTATTTTTAGGCAATAGCATAGGTCTCAGATATATAAAAATATATAAAAAACATGTCTATATGTATGTAAGTGTTTTGCTCAAAATACCAAACAGATCACCCATTCTAGCCATGCCTCATATCCCTCTATTTCACTTCCTGTTTCTAAAGTGCTGATTTGGGGTATAAAGCTTTACAAAATAAAAATAATTGATAAAAATAAAAAAGGAGGGGGTTGAGCTCATGCGGGACCCGGCAGCTACTGTCTAAACTAAATACTGCCGTGATGAAACGCCATATCATGGATTATCAAGGATTATTTCTGAAACAGTATGGAGCTCAAAGGCTTTCTCTCTTGCCGGTTATACCACAAGGTGAGTTCCTTTTTATTTCCTGCTTCTTCACACACATGCTCTCCAGTACAGGTTAGCTCTGAGTGTTAGCGATGCTAATGTAAACATGCACCGACCATATTATGTCCAAAACAGTCGGGCATTGTTTCTGATAGCAACGTTTCTGATAGGGCCGTGGGTGCCCCGTTTTTAGAGATTTGGGTATGGAGGAAAAAAGAGAGGGTTTTATTTTCTGACGCTGCGTGAGTTCCCCGACACACCGGGGACACATATGTATGTATAAAAGACATCACAAAGTGCATTTTGCATGATAGGTCCCCTTTAATACTTTAAAATCCAGGCTTAAGACTTTTCTTTTTGCCTCTGCCTGTTATCAAATCAAAAAAACTTGTCATATCTTTCACTTCACGCTACCTATTATTATATTTCTGTACCCGTGTTACCCAATTTCCGCTTAGTATTATCTAGGCTTTTAGTGACCGTTTTTGAAATGTGATGTCTAATGTTTCTTGTAAAGCACTTTGAGTTGCCTTGTTGTTAAATTGTGCTTTTTAAATAATCTTGCATGTGATTCTTCTGATTGTAGGTGATGGTGATGGGAGCTTCTAACAGACCACAGGATGTAGATCCAGCCATTCTGCGCAGGATGCCCGCCACGTTTTATGTTGGCCTGCCAGTAAGACACAAACACTTTCACAAACCATTGACATCTCATTTAAGTAATACAGGGTTTAAGCCAGTACGATACACTGGAAAGAATGCTGCTCCAAAAACAAGTTAAACAATAATGAAAACAAGCTGTTTTCACTTGAAATAAGTACAAAAATCTGCCAATAGAACAAGTGAACATTAGCTTGGTAAGATGTATTGAAATAAGAAGGGATATTTAGATAAATCACATCTTGTAATTAGCTGGGAGAACTCATTTTGAACTATATATTTGACCAGAATCAGCAAATGCTCAAAAGTTTTCTGTTTTCTGATGTTAGTTAGTTAGTAAAAAAACATGTGTTTCATCTGAGATACGACTCAAAATAAGATTTTTTGACTTAACAAGATGATGCATTGTCTAAAAACAAGACCCGATATCTCACTGCAGTGTTAGTTCTGAAGTTATTGTGTCTTATATCAGGTGTAGAGACATATTCTGACTAGGTATTAGACACATATACTGGGCATGATTTTGAGTCTTTGTAGTGTATTAAGCCAATCATTGACCTTATACAGAACTCCTCCACTGGGTAATGCACGGGACTCAGCAGCCGCCCTTTACCTTTGTTTCCAGCAGTGTTTAGACATTAGTGCCTTAATAGTTTTGATGTGAGGATCCAAGGTGCATACAGATGTAGCAGCTACTGGCGCTTTAGTTTTCTTTGAGACTGTCTCTGCAATGTCTCGTCTTGTCACCCCAAAAAATCACCTAAACGTTCTAGTAATTCGATAACCCGTGTGTTCAAGTAAATTCAATTACAAGTACAAGTGAAATATCTCAAATGGAAAAGCTATCTGAAGCTTGAGAAAGAGGAAATATTTTAAATATATCTTACCAACACTAGAGAGAGTTTCTGTATACAGAGACTTTTACAAGCTACGAAACACCTAACCAAATACCCTAAAACTAGTCTAATATAACGACTAAATGCTCGTAAAACACTCGTTACATCTGTCCTAACATTAGTTTAAAATAGATAACATATAATTAACACACATATTACAATGGCTCTGTATAAGCCAACACAATGTTATCATACAAATGTTTCTTTAAATCTTATCAAATCAAATCTCCAAATATAATGTTATCTAAACCCATTCCTTCATACAGTATGTAGCACGTTCATGTTTACTGCCCCTGTTCTATATCCTTAACGTGTATACTTCTACAAATGTGTGTATATATATATATATAGGGCGGTGGTGGCGAAGTCCATAGGGACTTGGCTTGGCAACTGGAAGGTCACCAGTTCAACTCTCAGTGCTACCGAGGTGTCCCTGAGCAAGGCACCGTTCCCTACACTGCTCACCAGGCGCCGTACATAATGGCAGCCCACTGCTCCTAACACTAGGATGGGTCAAATGCAGAGAAACCGTTTCATTACATAGTACCTATACTGTTTAATGACAATAAAAGTGCGAGGGGAATATACTTAAATGAAAATCGAATGAGAAATATGTAACTTTAACTTAATCCCACTTCTTGTCTCATTATCAGCTAATCTATTGAGTGATGGTGCGTTTAAATGAGGGCTTTAATCCACACACAGTAAAGCAGCAGAGCTTAAACTGTGTGTGTTATGGCTACTGGCGAAACTACAAAAAGCACAGAGTAAATCTTTAATCCGGGACAATAAAAAGCTCCTTTTACTGTATAGTGTCAGATATAAATACATATGTGCTGCTGGTGCAGGAGCAAACAGTAAATGAGAACAATTACAGCCATTAGGCAGGTAACGTGGCACTTAGACGGTGTCTGATGAAGAGAGTCTATAAACGTGTCATTAGTCGCTGATTGTTAGGTACACTCTCTGTTTTTGATCACATTGGTATGCTTTAAAGAACCGCTATCCTTCTGTCTCTGCAGAGCACGAGACAAAGACAAGACATCCTGAGGCTGATTTTAGCGGGAGAAAACGTAAGATGTGATGTCTTTTGATCCTCAAACACCTCAAAGACATACATACATAAAAGCATGGTTCACTGAGAACTACACACACTCGTCTGTGTTGGATATGGAGTGTGTGTTACATGTTGTGATCATGGGTGTTGCCCCTCGTTTCTGTTGTTGATGTGCTATATGTGACGTGTGGTGTTTGCATTTTATTATTCTCTTTTATCCTTTCTTTATAAGTAATGCTGTTGATGTGTTGTGATTTTAAAAAGGTGTCCATTATCATCTGGCCGGGGACAACAGCTGGTCCATTTACTGTTCTTTGTGACAGTTGATTAATGAGGACTGTCCACGACACTATAAACTAAACTGTATTTCACTGTCGGATCACATTAAAGTAGACCTCTAACAGGCTAAATCTATAATACTATGTTTCACACACACACTGTTCTATGCAGCTGAGCAATGGCATTCATCTGAAGGAGAGGACTGCTATATTTTACTATATTTAGGGCCTGGGGCCTCATTTATAAAGGGATATACGCTCAAAAAATGGCGTACGCCAGTTTCTACGCAATGTTTGCGATTTATAAAATACTAACTTGACGGGAAAATGTGCGGTCCTCCACGCAAACTCTAACCCATGCGTACGCACTAAGCACAACAACGGGAGAGACGAGAAACTGCGACACCGTTGGCAGAAGGAAGAATGGAGAGAAATATGTGGAAATAAATAAAATGTTACCTCTCATTTATCAAATATGAAGAATTCATTTTCAAACATTGATTAAAGCCAATCTTAAAATGATTAAACAAACGCCTGTTTGAGACTCCTCAGTGCACACAAAAACATAACTTGGAGAAATAAATAAATACGGATATGTTATTTAAAACCACCATATGTTGTGTTAATGTTATGAAATGTTTTCTCATAAATTATGCGGTAAGCAGGAGGACAGAATAACGTCTAAACTAACGCCGTTTTGCTTTTCTATAGGTTGTAGATACGAGCATGGTTTTATATACTATCACGTTTAATCGTGTTTTATGCCGTTTGCCAAGACTTGATAAGTCGCTCGTAAAACACAGGAGGTATGGAAACTAAGAACACCATATGTGGTAAATTGTACAGCTAATATAACACAACACATTAGTTGTATTTCCTTTAACTGGTGGATTATGGATATATAGTTGCTGATCGACAGCTGGAACACAAACCACCAAATACAACAAAATAATTCAGATCCTGTCGTCATGACTACACTCCGGAGGGATTTCCCGATCATTTCTTACAGTTTCTCATCAAGGGGGTGTCTCCTGTCCCCGGTACAAACACACTGCCTGAGGAAGGTTATGTGTATTTTTTTTGCCATTAACTTTTTTCGGACCACTTATTTATTTATTTTGGTGACGATCCGACCTCCATGCTGCTACTCTGGTTCAAACTGCATCCACCAAACAATATGATTTATCTCGACCTCCCCACAATAACCAAAATCTGACACGGTGTGAGATGTCTTTTTTAGCTGTTCTATCGTCATTTCCTGCGATCTTCTTCATGCAGTCAGTCAAAATGAATGAATGAATGGGCGTTTCTTTGACTATTTATAGGCAAATATGGGCGTTACGAGTCGATTGTGATTTATCAAGGGAAACAGGCGTAGGGAGTGCCGTACGCACTTCCCTCGCCGGTACGCAATGTTTTGTGAATCGGAAAATGGCGGAAAATGTATGTACCTATTTTTGTGCTTTGTACTACGTAAGCAACCTTCCTACGTCAATCCTACGCAAGGCGTTATAAATGAGGCCCCTGAGCACGAAGTGTGCGAAGACCTATTGAAATCCTTGTTTTTAATGTTATTATAGTTTTCTTAAAATAGTTCTCCACCAAGTCAAATTCCTCGTACGTGTCAACCTACCTGGTGATCAGAGATGGCAAAAGTACACACATCCTTTACTCAAGTAGAAGTACAGATACTTGTGTTTAAAAATACTCTGGTAGAAGTACTGACTAAACTACTTTACCCAACTAAAAGTAAAGAGGGCTTTGAAATGTACTTCAGTAAAAAGTACCCATAACTAGCAGCTATTTTAAAGAGTACCTGACCTCCCTTTATATTAATAGAACAATAATGTCATTGTTAGCTAATGAATGTTTCCATGCTGAACAACGGCAACATGACAACGTTTTCATTGGTCCCTCTTCTTTAGAGAAGACCAGGAAATGATGGATACACGGATCGTGTTCAAATCAATAGGCACGCAATGACTCTAAATAATAATGATCACGCCACCAAACACACATTCAAACTAAAGGAACCAGCCTGTTTGGGAAATGTAAGAAGTAGAAAGTACAGGTATTTGGGTTCAACATGTAAGAAGTAGAAAGTACAGGTATTTGTGTTCACAATGTAAGAAGTAGAAAGTACAGGTATTTGTGTTCAAAATGTAAGAAGTAGAAAGTACAGGTATTTGTGTTCAAAATGTAAGAAGTAGAAAGTGGTCAGAAAAATAAGTAGTGGAGTAAAGTACTGATACCAGAAAAATGTACTTAAGTACAGTAACGAAGTATTTGTACTCTACTGCTTCCCACCTCTGCTGATAATAAACCTGTTTCTGATTCTGATTCTGATGAATCTATAATACTCTGTTTCTCACACACACTGTTCTCCGCAGCTGAGCAATGCCATCAATCTGAAGGAGATCGCAGAGCGGACAGTGGGATACTCGGGCAGCGACCTGCGGGAGCTCTGCAGAGACGCCGCCATGTACCGAGTCAGAGACTACGTCCGCAAGGAGCAGATGAGGCAGATCGCTCAGCAGCTGCAGGACAGCGAGGAGGAGGAGAGGTACGACTCACCTTCACATTTCTATGTAAACACTGGGTAACACTTTATATTAAGGTACACATATTCACCATCAACTAGTTGTTAATTAACATGCATATTAGCAGTATATTGGCTCGTTATTAGTCATTATAAAACACGTATTAATGCCTTATTCTACATGACCATATTCTACAAGTACTAGGCCATTATTTAAGAGTTTTTCCTCAATAACCCTCTAATTAGTGCTTATTTATTGCAAGGAAGTTGTTGTACATGAGTTTGGGTCTTAATGTGCTCAATATGCAGCAGCAGTACCACAAGAATTGTAATTCTCCCATAATAACACCTAACAAATATGGTCTATTCTTATGTAACAAGACATGAAACTATAAGTGTTAATTGTGTCTAAATAACTCAAAATGTGGTATTTCTAACTCAGAATATGTTCCCTATTTTAAAGTGAAGTCTTGTTCATAACAAATAAGCTAGTAGTTTGACTCTAATATGTTAATGAGCAACTAGTTGATGGTGAATAAGTGTACCTTAAAGGTGGGGTAGGTAAGTTTGAGAAACCGGCTCGAGATCGCTAGAATTTGAAAATACACAACCGGAGAAAATCTGCCACTTCCTTACAGAGCCCCTCCTCCAACACACACGAACGCGCACATGACCAATGAGGGCACGAGATAAGTTTGTGCACAGATGGAAGGCTGACAGGCAGGTAGGCCATCCAGTTACTTTAGCCGGGCCGGCTCAAATGATTGGTCGTGCTGTTTACAGTACTACAGCTTCCACAGATGACATTTTTTTTATGGATTTTTTGTCAAAGCACTTCAGATATTCATTGCTATCGGGATGTTAAGAGCATTCCATGGAATATAACACAAAGTGTATCTCGAGCCGGTTTCTCAAACTTACCTACCCCACCTTTAATATCAAGTGTCACATGTAAATACTGTTATTTTTTACTATATTTTCTATTATTTTTATAAATTATTATTATTATCATAGTTTTCTTAAAATAGTTCTCTATCTGTGTTTTTAAAAAAATTACTTTTACGTATGCAACATGACATCAAGTCAAATTCCTCGTGGCGTCGTCAGGAGAGACGGTTTTGATGTAAGAATACATATGTATTGCCAGGAATACACAAATGAATGTAATGGAGTTTTGGAGATTAGGCCCCGTTGTGCGGGAGTATCATTCGGGAGGGAAGAACCGATCCGATGAAACCCCCCGGGGTCTAGACCCTGGTGGTGGTGAATGGATAGTGGGGGTCGGTCTGAAGGGGAGGGGCTTAGCTTGACCCTGGTGGTGGTGAATGGATAGTTGGGTTCGGTCTGAAGGGGAGGGGCTTAGCTTGACCCTGGTGGTGGTGAATAGATGGTTGGGGTCAGTCTGAAGGGGAGGGGCTTAGCTTGACCCTGGATTCAGAGGGGCAGAAGGTGAAAAGGGGGGGGGGGGAGGAGGGTTGCGTCGAGTCACCTGAAATGACAGCTGTCAGAGGGGAGAGCAGATTTAAAAGTGTTAGCGGAGCGCTATGATAGGCTTGTGAGAATAGAGCGAAGTGATTGGTTAAGCTGGGGAGTGACGCCCCCGATCACTTATTGAGAGGAGAGAGAGTAGTAACATGGAAATAGTAAATGAATGAGTAAAGAAGGTCTTCCTGGTTGAACTTGCGCTGAGCTTCATTTAGTCTCAGATCACTTCCACATGTTCTCCATCAGCTTCGTACGGCACCTTGGACATAACACAAGAAGAACATCCTGTTTTTGTTTTTGAAAGACAAACCTTTATTAATGATCCAAACATTTCATTTGATCACACATCCCATCAGTAAAGTCTGTTCAATGATTTCATGATCAGTTTCACTTTATCCACACCATGAATGTGTTTCATCTCAGCTATTTCAAACACAATCACACATGATTTCCTTATTGATTATTATCATGATAAGTTATGTTCTATAAAACATCAGAGTACCCACTTTCTATTTGGATAACAACAACAACAACAATTAGTCTGCAAAACAATAACTGTAATATTATACAATGTATTTCCCAAGCAAAGACTCTAAGCTATTTACAGCAGAATAATAAATGGTGTACTTATTGATTATGATCATGACAGTAAGTAATATCATTTTAAATAAACATGTTATGATGACATAAGTGTTATAACCATCTGGGAACTCATCGTTAGTTAATTTGGGCAACAATAACATTTAATCTGTCAGAATAATACATGTGATTATAAATGTCTCTGTTGTTTTAGAAAGTGGGCAGAATAAAATGTGTACAATAAAAGAAGCTCTGCTGCTTTCTCTCTGAAGACTCGTGCATTACAAGAGAAACAACAACAAGAATCAAAAGAAATATCCAACACATATTTAGAGCAAAGTTTACATATCAGTTCAGGTGAACAAGGATCCTCCTGAGCAGTGACAGCCTCCATGGCTACACAGACACAGGAAGGAGCCGGAAGAAAGTCCAACATCTACAGAACAACTCATGAGAAGATGTTGAAGCACATCCCATCATGTTTGATTGACAGCTGATCTCTGCACAGTGAAGACATGGACAATCAGCTCTGATGGACACACGGTGACTTTAAGAAGTAGAAGAGTTCCTCCAATGACTTCAGGCTATTTGAGTTTACAAAACTCAGCAGTGGCTCCATCACTAGAATAAAGACAAACTCCAGCATGTAGCGGCTGAGTGAATGTGGTCTGGACTCTGTGGAGGAGAGTCATGGTTTCAGAGACGCTGTAGAAGGACAGAATACCTGCTCTGTGATCCAGGTACACTCCTACTCTGGAGGACAGAGGACCTGAGACGGGAGTGAGGATACTGTTGTAACGAAATCTATAACTGTTTTGGTTACAATCTAAGGACCAAGATTTGTTTCCAAATAAACTTTCAAACCCTGCTCTGCTGATATTCTTGTATGCGACTGCTACATAAACTGCTGCCCCTCTCCACTCCACCTCCCAGTAACAACGTCCAGTCAGACTCTCTCTACTCAGGACCTGAGAATATAAAGTGAATCTGTCTGGGTGACTAGAATAAGACTGATGTTTTTTCACGAGTGTTGCTTTTCTGCTCCCCTCAGATAATACCAGCCGTTTCTCTGCTGTGTTTGGATCCAGAGTGATCTCCTGTGAATATGTTAAGAACCCAGCTCTGGTGGTGGGCTCTGCTGCTGACAGTAAAACATCCACTTCAGTTGGTGAGACGTTTGTCCATTCCTCTCTCAGGACGTCCTGTAGTTTGTCTCTGACTGCTGACAGGGCCACCGTCACGTCCTCAAAGTAGCTCAGAGGACGGATGTTGATGCTGGAGGAGTGTGTAGGTTCACTGAGGGCTGACAGTGAGGGGTAGCTGTGCAGAAACTGGTTGTGATCCTCTGTGTGAGACAGAAGCTTCAGCTCAGCGTCTCTCCTCTTCAGCTCAGAGATCTCCTGCTCCAGCTTCTCCTGAAGCTCTTTGACTCGACTCACTTCTCTCTTCTGCTGGGATCTGAGCTGCTGCTTCACATCAGAGCTTCTTTTCTCCATGAGACGGATCAGCTCAGTGAACATCTTCTCACTGTCCTCCACTGCTTTATCAGCAGAGCCATTGACGGCCTCCACCTCCTGCTGAAGCAGCTTCACCTCCTTCTCTCCGTCCTGGATTCTCTGCTGGATGTTTAGTCGACTCCCCTCCAGCTCTCTCTGCCTCTCAGTCCTCTCTGCTGCAGCTGACACTGTGTCGTGGCCTTTGTGTTCGTCCACAGAGCAGATATAACAGATACTCTGCTGATCAGTGCGGCAGAACAGCTTCATCACCTCGTCGTGACGAGAGCAGATGTTCTCCTGAAGCTTCTTGGAGGGCTCCACCAGCTTGTGTTTTTTTAATGGAGCTGCGTCATAATGAGGCTGGAGGTGTTGGTCACAGTAAGAGGCCACACACTGCAGACAGGACTTACAGGCTCTCAGTTTCCTCCCAGTGCAGACATCACAGGCCACATCTTCAGCTCCAGCATAGCAGAGATCAGCAGGAGCAGGTGGGGGTCCAGTCTTCTTCAGCTCCTCCACTAAAGCTGCTAACATGGTGTTTTTCAGCAGGACAGGCTTCGGTGTGAAGCTCTGCCTGCACTGAGGGCAGCTGTGGATTAGCTCTCCATCCCAGTGCTGTTTAATACACTTCATGCAGTAGCTGTGTCCACAGGGAATAGTCACCGGATCCTTCAGTAGATCCAGACAGATGGAACAAGAGAAGGTTTCCCGGTCCAGCTGAAATCCTTTCTGCGCCATTTCACCTCTCAGTAGCAGCGAGTGTGAGTTTCACTTCCTGAGAGCTGAAACTAGTGTGAGAGGTTATCTGAACAGGATGTGTGTGTGTGAATGTGGCCTATCAGCTCTTGTGCTTTACCCACATGTTGGTTACACCCCTCCTCCTCAGTGTGGATCTGAAGGGGAGGAGCCAGGAAACACAGAGTGGAGCTGGCTGTGTCTGAGAGCAGGAAGAAGAGGGAGGGCTATGATAGGCTTGTGAGAATAGAGCGAAGTGATTGGTTAAGCTGGGGAGTGACGCCCCCGATCACTTATTGAGAGGAGAGAGAGTAGTAACATGGAAATAGTAAATTAATGAGAAAAGAAGGTCTTCCTGGTTGAACTTGCGCTGAGCTTCATTTAGTCTCAGATCACTTCCACATGTTCTCCATCAGCTTCGTACGGCACCTTGGACATAACACAAGAAGAACATCCTGTTTTTGTTTTTGAAAGACAAACCTTTATTAATGATCCAAACATTTCATTTGATCACACATCCCATCAGTAAAGTCTGTTCAATGATTTCATGATCAGTTACATTTTGTCCACACCATGAATGTGTTTCATCTCAGCTATTTCAAACAGAATCATACATGATTTCCTTATTGATTATTATCATGATAAGTTATGTTCTATAAAACATCAGAGTAGCCACTTTCTATTTGGACAACAACAACAACAACAACAATTAGTCTGCAAAACAATAACTGTAATATTATACAATGTATTTCCCAAGCAAAGACTCTAAGCTATTTACAGCAGAATAATAAATGATGTACTTATTGATTATGATCATGACAGGAAGTAATATCATTTTAAATAAACATGTTATGATGAAATAAGTGTTATAACCATCTGGGAACTCATCGTTAGTTAATTTGGGCAACAATAACATTTAATCTGTCAGAATAATACATGTGATTATAAATGTCTCTGTTGTTTTAGAAAGTGGCCAGAATAAAATGTGTCCAATAAAAGAAGCTCTGCTGCTTTCTCTCTGAAGACTCGTGCATTACAAGAGAAACAACAACAAGAATCAAAAGAAATATCCAACACATATTTAGAGCAAAGTTTACATATCAGTTCAGGTGAACAAGGATCCTCCTGAGCAGTGACAGCCTCCATGGCTACACAGACACAGGAAGGAGCCGGAAGAAAGTCCAACATCTACAGAACAACTCGTGAGAAGATGTTGAAGCACATCCCATCATGTTTGATTGACAGCTGATCTCTGCACAGTGAAGACATGGACAATCAGCTCTGATGGACACACGGTGACTTTAAGAAGTAGAAGAGTTCCTCCAATGACTTCAGGCTATTTGAGTTTACAAAACTCAGCAGTGTCTCCATTATTACCATAAAGCCAAACTCCAGCATGTAGCGGCTGAGTGAATGTGGTCTGGACTCTGTGGAGGAGAGTCATGGTTTCAGAGACGCTGTAGAAGGACAGAATACCTGCTCTGTGATCCAGGTACACTCCTACTCTGGAGGACTGAGGATCTGAGACGGGAGTGCTGATACAGTTGTAACTAAATGAATAACTGTTTTGGTTACAATCTAAGGACCAAGATTTGTCATTGTTTCCAAATAAACTTTCCCCCCATGCTCTGATGATATTCTTGTATGCGACTGCTACACGAACTGCTCCCCCTCTCCTCTCCACCTCCCAGTAACAACGTCCAGTCAGACTCTCTCTACTCAGGACCTGAGGCCGTAAAGTGAATCTGTCTGGGTGACTAGAATAAGACTGTTTTTTCACTAATGTTGCTTTTCTGCTCCCCTCAGATAATACCAGCTGTGTGTGTGCTGTGTTTGGATCCAGTGTGATCTCCTGTGAATATGTTAAGAACCCAGCTCTGGTGGTGGGCTCTGCTGCTGACAGTAAAACATCCACCTCAGTCGGTGAGACGTTTGTCCATTCCTCTCTCAGGACTTCCTGTAGTTTGTCTCTGACTGCTGACAGGGCCGCCGTCGCGTCCTCAAAGTAGCTCAGAGGACGGATGTTGATGCTGGATGAGTGTGTAGGTTCACTGAGGGCTGACAGTGAGGGGTAGCTGTGCAGAAACTGGTTGTGATCCTCTGTGTGAGACAGCAGCTTCAGCTCAGCGTCTCTCCTCTTCAGCTCAGCCATCTCCTGCTCCAGCTTCTCCTGAAGCTCTTTGACTCGACTCACTTCTCTCTTCTGCTGGGATCTGAGCTGCTGCTTCACATCAGAGCTTCTTTTCTCCATGAGACGGATCAGCTCAGTGAACATCTTCTCACTGTCCTCCACTGCTTTATCAGCAGAGCCATTGACGGCCTCCACCTCCTGCTGAAGCAGCTTCACCTCCTTCTCTCTGTCCTGGATTCTCTGCTGGATGTTTTGTCGACTCCCCTCCAGCTCTCTCTGCCTCTCAGTCCTCTCTGCTGCAGCTGACACTGTGTCGTGGCCTTTGTGTTCGTCCACAGAGCAGAGAGAACAGATACACTGCTGATCAGTGCGGCAGAACAGCTTCATCACCTCGTCGTGACGAGAGCAGATGTTCTCCTGGAGCTTCTTGGAGGGCTCCACCAGCTTGTGTTTTTTTAATGGAGCTGCGTCATAATGAGGCTGGAGGTGTTGGTCACAGTAAGAGGCCAGACACACGAGGCAGGACTTACAGGCTCTCAGTTTCCTCCCAGTGCAGACATCACAGGCCACATCTTCAGCTCCAGCATAGCAGAGATCAGCAGGAGCAGGTGGGGGTCCAGTCTTCTTCAGCTCCTCCACTAAAGCTGCTAACATGGTGTTTTTCAGCAGGACAGGCCTCGGTGTGAAGCTCTGCCTACACTGAGGGCAGCTGTGGATTAGCTCTCCATCCCAGTGCTGTTTAATACACTTCATGCAGTAGCTGTGTCCACAGGGAATAGTCACCGGATCCTTCAGTAGATCCAGACAGATGGAACAAGAGAAGGTTTCCCGGTCCAGCTGAACTCCTTTCTGCGCCATTTCACCTCTCAGCAGCAGCGAGTGTGAGTTTCACTTCCTGAGAGCTGAAACTATGTGAGAGGTTATCTGAACAGCAGGTGTGTGTGCAGTGAATGTGGCCTATCAGCTCTTGTTCTTTACCCACATGTTGGTTACACCCTTCCTCCTCAGTGTGGATCTGAACGGGAGGAACCAGGAAATACAGAGTGGAGCTGGCTGTGTCTGAGAGCAGGAAGAAGAGGGAGCGCTATGATAGTCTTGTGAGAATAGAGCGAAGTGATTGGTTAAGCTGGGGAGTGACGCCCCCGATCACTTATTGAGAGGAGAGAGAGTAGTAACATGGAAATAGTAAATTAATGGGTAAAGAAGGTCTTCCTGGTTGAACTTGCGCTGAGCTTCATTAGTTTTCAAACTGATGGCATATTATAGACTGATGTTCTCTTAACCTGACATTTCAATTAAAGTCGCTGTATGTGAAGCATTGTATTTATTTTTTAGTGAGATGTTACAATTAGTTATAATTAGATCAGATTAGATGTACTTGTGTCAAATGTGTGGGATTATTTTTGTTGTCACAGGAGCATAATAACAGACATAAAAATCGTATTAATAAAAGTATAAATTAATACGAATACATTTTATTTTATTTGGGCCCATGTCATGCTTTTCCGGTTATTACCCGTCCCCTTGTGTGTTATGAAGGTTTTTCTGCATGTAAACGGTCTGCAGAGTCACAAACCCTCAAAGTACACCCTGTAGCGAGTAAAACTGTAACACAGAAAAGACCTGTCTATGCTGCCCCAGAACGCCTCGTTGGACATTTCTCTTTTTCCATTGTTTTCTTCCTGAGTACAGAGACGTAACTATTTGGATAGTGCAGGAGCTCCAACAAGCCGTTTAGGACAGAGAGTGAATACACATACTATACAGAGATGCTGTATGAGAAACCAATGTGAGTTTGGCACATTGAACAATGTAAATCTATTCTATTCAACAATGGAATTATGATCAGTAGAAATGGCCATGTGATGGGACCTTTAAAGGAAAGTATATCAAAAACACACAAGCAGGGCATACAAAAAACATCCAGTAAAATATAGAAATATCGGTGTGTGTCTGTGTGTCTGTGTGTGTGTGTGTGTGTGTGTGGGTGGGTGGGTATAAAAAAAAAATACAGAATTAATCATTATAATAGACCAATCTACTAATCATACAAAATGATATAGACATATATACATCTACATTATACAAGTGTGTAAAGTGTATTTGTAATTGTTCTATTAAAACAAAAATAATGCAAAATTGAAAATATAACCTGCAACTTAATTGAGATTCAAATGTAAATGATCTCTAATGGATTGTAATTATGAAACAGTCTGAGTTTGAACATTCAGAAACACTGAAGTTAGTCAAATGTCCTCTAGCACTGTATGTGAGATATTGGAAGTTATCAGAGGCTGGTTTATTTTTAAATCATCTTATATTTTATAAAAGGCTAAATATCTGATCTGAGTAACCCGTGCTTCGGTTGTTGCTAAGCGACTATAGAAACCCTGTTGGAGCAGAACATAGTGTGACCTATAGTTGTCAGCACGTTGCTTCAAAGGGACATCAGGAAACAGCTGGAGGCTCAAACATGTGGGCTGAATGTAGTTCTTGGAATACTGTGAAGTACATGAAGTCTTGTTTCAAAAGTTAGATATATATTGAACTAGAAGACCATGTGTACAACAAAAGAAATAAGTATCAAATAGTTTGCCATGTTGGAATCATAAAGACATTTAAAGCCTTGAGGGTACAAAAACTGTAAAAGTGTTTTACATATTCAAGGCCAATATGAATATGTGAAACTCATACATATTGAAATACTTACACTTTCGATTGATGTGAAACAGGTCCAGAAAACACGTTCATAGAATAGAATAAATAGCTATAAATATTCATATCTGTCATATTTATATATCTATATCATACATATACATTATTTGTTGTTATTTATTCTACTATTTCAACCATTAGACGGTTTATACATCAGGAAAAACAAACAATTAGAAGTCGGAGGGCAGAAAGCAAAGTGTATACAGAGGTAGTCCTCCTGATAGTGATCCAGTTGCAGGATAAAGAAAAAAACAGATAAACAAAACTCTATATATACATTCACATACATAAGTACACATATACATACATACATCCATTTCCAGGGTGAAAATAAAATGATAAAGTACAAAAAAAAAATATCCTACAAGTCCATGTTCAGATAACAAGACAAGAACTTCACACCGCGTTCACACCGGAGTACTTTTCCCCGTACTTTTCCCGCTTAGTTCCGTTAGTACCCCTTATGTTGCGTTCACACCAAAAAGAGTACTTAGTGCCGGAAACATTTTTAGTGCCTGCTAGAGAGGTGGTACCAAAAAAGTACCAATTTCTATTGGCTCGGCGAATTGCAAACCACGCCCCGTAAAACTCTGAAAAGTTTTGTGAAGCCGCCATTGTATTTGTGGCATTAGCATTAGCATTAGCCCCGCGCACCAAGTGGATTTTGCACAATAGGGGAACTTTAAATCGAATCTAATTTAATGCTGTTTTTATACATAGTGTGTGCAGCATGTTAATATGAAACAGAAAGCTCATTGTCTAAACTGAAAACTTGTAGCTCTCACCTTCCCGAGAAAACAGAAGCTACCTGATGTCGACACCGTGTCCATCTTGTGTGTCCTAAATTAAGTGTGTGTGTGTGTGTTCGTTCAGGCCGGTGGATCAGGAGCGTCTGCGCCCCGTCACCCAGCTGGACCTCCTCTTCGGTCTGGACAAGATGAAGGAGTCCAAGCAGGCCACGGTCGCCATGTTTCCTCTGGAGGTACCGCTGGACTGAACTCTGGGAACACAGGGAACACTTTCCCCTCTTTTATCTGCAGAATATCAGAGGCTGGAAAAGCAGGAAAATCTGACTTTTTATTTATTGAGAGAAGGGTTTTTTTTTGGTCTGAGCATGCTCACTTTCAGCACAACCCTGCTACCTGTGGAAAAACACTTAATTTAGTCTCAAATTGCGATATACAATAGGAGGGAGTGACTGCTGTTACACACTTCTCTCCTGCACCACTATAAGGTTTCAGATACTGTCCTTAAAAATGCATTTCACACGATCATTATCAGAGGGGATTAAGTGACTCTGGACCTTTGCTGTTTGACTTCTAAATCAATTGTCTACTAACTTTATTTTCTGGGTGTTTGATAACAAAGGATTGAATCCCTTTTTGAATCTGAGCTCTTTGGAAGATATCATGTATCTGGCCCTGGTTGCATTACACTATATTCTCTACAGATGTTGTTGTGTGGTAGGACATTAGTCCGTAATGCATCTCAGCCACATGACGTCCCAAATAACAAATAGCTTTTTCATTTTCAGGAAATACCAATCTAACTGTAATAACTTTCCTGTTGTTTTTCTGAACTGGCTTAGATAGCTCTCTCCAGCTGGTTGAACTGATTCTGTTTTTGTTTTTTTTAAAGCTGACAGGAACACTGTAATTCTTCAGTTTTTGCTCTCCGTGATCATTTCCATTGTGTTATGTTTGTTTGATTGCTTCTTGACTTATTAGAAGTAATAGAGAATGCACTTAGCCGGTGTGAGGATTTAACAGAAAGCAGTAGCAATGCAATTATTTTCAGGTCTTATAACATAAAACGGTTACATGTATGTTGCCATGCTTTCAAATCACGCTATGTATCAATAGATAAAGGGAAGAACAAAGTCAGCTACAGGTGAAATGTAAAACAATCTGTGTAACACCTAGTCATGTAGTCGCTTGAGTCAGGTTTGAAAGGTACTGTAGACAAAAGCAAATCACTAAACAAACATTCAACTAGTGTCAAATAGAGTTTAAACTTCAATCTGTAGTTGGAAGAACTTCTAAACCGAGCTACACGCGACAATAAAGACACGGATATAAGCTGTTACATCAATATAAATCGTTACTCTGCTATCAATGGCTATAATATGATACAAACCTGATTATTACAGCTGTTAGTAGATGAATTATAGGAATTGTGCATGTCTGTGAATGTGAAAGAAAATGCTGGGTAAGAGTTAAGGATACTTTAAATGCAATTAAAGTTAACCAATTTCAAGGTCATAAGCTGTTTTAGTGCTGATTTGTAACAGAAAATAGTCTGCACTTATTGTCTTCCAACAGCTGTTACCTCTTTATGTTCAATCTGTCCTGGGGCACAAAGAGTGTTTTTCAAGTGTCATATTTATTGTCACTTTGAATGTTTTTAATAAATGAACTTCCTGTCAATCACCACTGCAACGCACAGTCGTTTTAAGCTGTCAGTTTCTTTGAGTCTCGCTTGAAAGAAAGTGGCTTTAAAATTCAAAAGCGTTCAATCATTTCCACGATGTTGTGACATGCTTCTCTCACTCCTCTCTGTATAGAAAGCCTCATTATTCTCCACATGGTCACAGCATGTGTTCTTAGATCTGTGTGTGAGTCTCTTACAGACCTTTCTCTCACTCATCCTGTAAAGACCATCCATGCACGACCACCAGGTGGCGCTGCAGCTTCACTGCCAGGAGTAACAGCCTGAAACACTTCATTTTGAACTGTATTTTACAAGATGGAATTACAAACCTTTAAGGCTCAATCCATGGTGTTGTGATGTACATTAACATTACAATAGCAGTTTACATCAATCAAAAATAACACTTGAAAGACTAAATGATGCTTTAACAAAGAGTAAGGGTCTATTTAAGCAACATATAGACAACAATAACGAGTAAAATAAGGGAGTTTCCTCCGTAATGTAATGTTGCAAATAGTTAGAGTCCATGCTTCCATTTGTAAATACAGTTTTGACTCAACATCAAATGATATGTAAAAAAAGTTCTCCTTCAGAGTGTGTGTGTGGGTGTGTGTGTGTGTGTGGGGGTGGGGGTGTGTGTGTGTGTGGGGGTGGGGGTGTGTGTGTGGGGGTGGGGGTGGGTGTGTGTGTGTGTTCCTCCGTAATGTATTGTTGCAAATAGTTAGAGTCCATGCTTCCATTTGTAAATACAGTTTTGACTCAACAATATCAAATTATATGTAAAAAAAGTTCTCCTTCAGAGTGTGTGTGTGTGGGTGTGTGGGTGTGTGTGTGTGTGTGGGGGTGGGGGTGTGTGTGTGTGTGGGGGTGGGGGTGTGGGTGTGTGTGGGGGTGTGGGTGTGTGTGTGTGTTCCTCCGTAATGTATTGTTGCAAATAGTTAGAGTCCATGCTTCCATTTCTTGTCATTTGTAAATACAGTATTGACTCAACAATATCAAATTCTATGTAAAAAAAAAAAAGTTCTCCTTCAGAAGAACTCCAGCTTTAATCTACATCTCATTAAGAAGGTGTAGCTGGAAGAAAGTAGGCCCTACAGAGTCTCGATATCTCCCTCACAGAATCCACATTTATTATCCCAATTACATTGCTTATTATGATGTTAAAGCTTTATTTGTGGAGCACTTCTCATACACAGAAAGCAGCTCAAAGGGCTTGGACAATATGGCAACAAGACAAGACTCACAGACAATAACACATTCAATTCAGGTCACAGCATCAGACATATGAGTACATAGAATACAACAATGTAGAATAGGTAAGGTAATAAATACAAAAAATATATAAAAAATTATCCCACTCAGTAAACGTAAGAAAGACAAAAGACCAAATGAATAAATACATTTATAAAAACAAAAATAGACCAACTAAAGGGGGATATTGTCTCTCCAGCTGTCATTTAAATATGTAATAATTATTAGATAACAATATTATAATGAGGGACTTTTGAAATATTAGACAGGCACATACAAAGATAGAAAGTCAGAGGTGCAAGAGGCCGCCATTAAGAGCTCTGTATATCAGTGGAAATTCTTTCAAATCGATTATAAAAAAGTGTTTGGATGGATAACAGCCGGAGAAATGGAACGCTCACATGACGTTTTATAGCGTTAGGGGGACATAATGAAATCAAAACTGCTGCACAGTGTTTGTTGTTCATTCAGTGGTATTTACACATCTGTTGCTCTTCATCACAGTTCCTCAAAGGTCAACATGTTCCCCTGTAGACTAACGATGGTGTATCTGCAGATTACACATCTTACTTTGGCTTCTCAGAGAAGGAGTCTCAATGCAATATCATGTCGTTCATTAATGCAAATGTCCATATTGAAATGTCACTGTCCAAAATATGTGTGTTGTTGAATGTAAACCATGTACTGTAAAGCGTATTTATTAAATTACACTGAAGAAAGTATTTACTCTTATTTTCACCAGCCAAACGTTACCTCAGTTTCAACATGGATCTCCACCTCATAACAAATCATATATATATAACTTTACAAATATCAGGTTCATATCAGTATGTAGTGTCTCTACTTTAAAGAGTCCTCTCCTGCTGATGTTCAGGTGTATTTCAGTATGTAGTGTCTCTACTTTAAAGAGTCCTCTCCTGCTGATGTTCAGGTGTATATCAGTATGTAGTGTCTCTACTTTAAAGAGTCCTCTCCTGCTGATGTTCAGGTGTATATCAGTATGTAGTGTCTCTACTTTAAAGAGTCCTCTCCTGCTGATGTTCAGGTGTATATCAGTATGTAGTGTCTCTACTTTAAAGAGTCCTCTCCTGCTGATGTTCAGGTGTATATCAGTATGTAGTGTCTCTACTTTAAAGAGTCCTCTCCTGCTGATGTTCAGGTGTATATCAGTATGTAGTGTCTCTACTTTAAAGAGTCCTCTCCTGCTGATGTTCAGGTGTATATCAGGATGTAGTGTCTCTACTTTAAAGAGTCCTCTCCTGCTGATGTTCAGGTGTATATCAGTATGTAGTGTCTCTACTTTAAAGAGTCCTCTCCTGCTGATGTCCAGGTGTATATCAGTATAGTGTCTCTACTTTAAAGAGTCCTCTCCTGCTGATGTTCAGGTGTATATCAGTATGTAGTATCTCTACTTTAAAGAGTCCTCTCCTGCTGATGTTCAGGTGTATATCAGTATTTAGTGTCTCTACTTTAAAGAGTCCTCTCCTGCTGATGTTCAGGTGTATATCAGTATGTAGTGTCTCTACTTTAAAGAGTCCTCTCCTGATGATGTTCAGGTGTATATCAGTATTTAGTGTCTCTACTTTAAAGAGTCCTCTCCTGCTGATGTTCAGGTGTATATCAGTATGTAGTGTCTCTACTTTAAAGAGTCCTCTCCTGATGATGTTCAGGTGTATATCAGTATTTAGTGTCTCTACTTTAAAGAGTCCTCTCCTGATGATGTTCAGGTGTATATCAGTATGTAGTGTCTCTACTTTAAAGAGTCCTCTCCTGCTGATGTTCAGGTGTATATCAGTATGTAGTGTCTCTACTTTAAAGAGTCCTCTCCTGCTGATGTTCAGGTGTATATCAGTATGTAGTGTCTCTACTTTAAAGAGTCCTCTCCTGCTGATGTTCAGGTGTATATCAGTATGTAGTGTCTCTACTGGGACATGTCTCCATGTGTTTTGCTCCAGTTCTACGTTTAGTGCCTATAACAAAAGCCTTGCATCTCTAAAGACGTCACTTCTTTCTGGACCTGCTGACAGCCAAATAATGTTTAAATTACTGTCTGAGTTTTTAATCAATGTCTAGCCGAGTCAAATCAAATTATTGTTAGAAAATCTCCCAGGATTTGGATCTTGGTATGACAGCAGCAGTGTAATATTGATAATATCTCACCCTGTGGTTAAGCCTCTGTTGGCCTCTGCTGCTGAGACTCAAAGCCCTGCAGGGAAGCTCCAATAACTTAAGTGATGCAGTGACTTTTCATCAAGTGACACCATTAGGTCAACATTTCCATTTGGCTTTTATCCAAATACCTTGTTGTTAATTAGCAAATGTTAGCATGCTAAAAGGCTGAACTTAGTTGATTGACAGTAAACAACAGACCTATGTAGATGATAAATATAGCCGCGTTAAAGGGGCCATACTCTGCTGTTTTGGGGTCTCTAGTGTGCTATGTAGGTTTTGGTGCATGTAAATGGTCTGTAATGGCTAAAATCAAGGCGCAAAATACAAATATGAACCTGAAAATAAGCACATTATATCTTCTTTTGGAATTATGACAACACCACACCGATCCTGGCTTCCTTAAACTTCATACCTGTTGCATTTTTTAAGATTTTACTGACTACGTACACATTCCTAAGAGGCCTCGCTAAGCTACTTATCTGACCTCCTGTTATAAAGCTGCATATTATAAAGCAATATTTGAAGTTATCACTGAACACACCAGAAAGGAGGCATGTGTCAGAACTGAGCTATGCAATGCTTAAGTAAAACAAAGCTTTTAAAACGACATTCAGGACTGCCAAAAACTTGTTGAATGTCAAGTTTAGACAAGATAAAGATTAGGCGTCCCAATTGGATGTATCTGATTACAAAAGTTAATTGAAAGTACAAATGTAACCATGGCTGATGTCCCAAAGCCTGACTGTTGTTGGGGATTTCCCATTAATGCAGGTGAATGGTTGTATTTTTAAGGAAGTGCTGCCAATAAGTGCGATATGTGTTCCCTGCTGTCGTGTGGACAGGTGATATTTACCATTTCTTCTGTAATGAGGCGAAGTCTGGACTGTTTTCCTTCCAGCTAAGTTCTTTAACTCGGACTCATTGATTAGTTATCCATGGAGCTATTGATGGTTTATTCATGAAGAGGGCGTCAAAGTGAAAGTCTCCGTTCCAACTCTTTTCAATTAGAGGCCAGCTCCCAGTGGATAAACATGATGGAGGAGGTTTCCCCCGCAGAGAGGTGGCTGCAGATGTCAGAGACTTCCCATCGAGATGCCGGAGGAACATGGATCCACTTTATTCTGGATATGGTCTGTCAGACAGGAATAAGGGTTTGAGTCGCTGTTCTGATAGGAGTGAGTTGGGGGCAGAGATGGCAAAAGTACACACATCCTTTACTCAAGTAGAAGTACAGATACTTGTGTTTAAAAATACTCTGGTGAAAGTAGAAGTACTGACTAAACTTCTTTACTCAAGTAAAAGTAAAGAGGGCTTTGAAATGTACTTCAGTAAAAAGTACCCATAACTAGCAGCTGTTTTAAAGAGTACCTGACCTCCCTTTATATTAATAGAACAATAATGTCATTGTTAGCTAATGAATGTTTCCATGCTGAACAACGGCAACATGACAACGTTTTCATTGGTCCCTCTTCTTTAGAGAAGACCAGGAAATGATGGATACACGGATCGTGTTCAAATCAATAGGCACGCAATGACTCTAAATAATAATGATCACGCCACCAAACACACATTCAAACTAAAGGAACCAG